TATGTAATTTGTTACACAAAAAAAATGTACTATCGAGATCATATGAAAAATGATCTACGTACACTCTACCCTTAAATCGCAAAATCTACAATCCATATATCCATTATGTCCTGTTAAGTATATAAGTTTGCTAATGGCTGGTATATCACTACACCAAATTGGAACAAAAGCACGTAATATAAATTCTTCTTTCTTTAAACCATCCCAACATGCTACACAATCTTAAATTAAAGTTAGTAGTTTTTAAACAAATTTAAAATTATTTAATATAAAAAAATACCTTCAAGCTTTTTTAACTCATCAACAATAGGACGCATAAAACTATTAAAGTTTTTAGGACAGTTTGGACCAGGTATTATAGCTGAAATCAAAAGATTTTCTCGTTTAACTCGATCTTCAGGTGGAATATTATTGTTAATAAACATGATCACCCAGTTATCATCACACTGTTGCTGAAAAATTTGGTATCCATCCAAACTTGCTGAGAGTATCAAATCTCTGTCATCCTTAATAATATTATTATGTAATAGTTGTTTATATAATTCACCATCAAAAATATTACAATACATATTATTATTAAATGTATAGTTTGAACGATATCTAAATGTTTTTGATCTTTCAGAATTAGCATACTGAAATCTTAAACAAGAGATTAATGGATAATAAGCAGCTGTTTTAAATGCTACTTTTTTTTCTTTAAATCTGGCTGCTGAACATATAGGGCATTGTGTTTCTTCTTTATATTCACCTGTAAAAGCTATACAGGAGTTAATACACATATCGATAAATAAAATATCAATATTAACTACTTTTTGAAGAAATTTTTTTGTTGAGTATAGTGTAGGACCATCACAATTAAAAATTTTTAGAATTTCTTCAAAGTTTTCATTTGTTATATAAGAATTTTTTGACTTTAAATGCAATAATTTTAATGCATTAATTGTATTTGCTGATTCTAAATAAAATAAATTTGTACTTATTTAATAATTAATAATAAGATTTGTATATTTGATTTAATTAATATATAAATCTTATATATAACAACTTACCTTCAATATCTTGAGCTAAATTATGATTATCTAAATCGTAATTTATCAATTCATCATTATATAGTTCTAAACATTTATCGTTATATTCTAAATCTTCATATTGTTCTAAACAATTATTCTGTTCTAAATTTCCAAATTGTTCTAATTCTAAATTTTCATATTCTAAATTTTTATATTCTAAGTTTTGTTGTTCATTATATTGTGATTTTTTACGATTATTTGATTTGTTAACTCTTTTTTTTTTAGAATATACTTTTCTGATAATAATACCATTCTTATCGTATATATATTTTTTGGCTTTTTCATATTGACGTTTAATTCTTTTACTAAGTATTCGACCATTTGGATTAATAATTAAACAGGTATTACATTTGCATATTTCTTTTTGTGAATTCATATTTTGGTTTATAATTAATTTGTTATGTGTTTTTTTTAGATACAGTATTTATAATTTTTTTAATTATATACAGTAGTGTAATATTTATTATAAAAATTTATTATAATATTATAATATAAATAGTTCAATTATGCAGTATAATAGTTTTTACATATATATTTTAATTAAATTATACTAATTTTAAAATTACGCCTCCTGATATCTCTTTTATAGTATTTAAAAAAAATTTTTTTTTTTTTTTTGATGTTACGGTAAGTAAAAAAAAAAATTTATACTAATTTATATATATATATATATATTTTTTTTTATTAATCTTAAGCAGTTATACTAATACTTTATTTAAGATTCTTGAAACTATATATATATACAATTATATAGAACTTCCCAATACTGAACACCGAAATCTGGAGATGAAACTCAAACTCTGAAGAATGCATAAGTCCACGGAGAAAATGGCAATACCAACCTGGTCACCGGAACGCCGGGCAGCTGCGGTTGCTGCAAGACTAACTGGTTTGGAAGTTTGGATGAGTAAGAGCAACTAGGCACTGGTAAGGTGATAAAAGGAGTTTGCTGGGTTATATGAACATTATAAGGGTAGGGTACTAACTAGTTTAGGGTAGGTTAGACTTAGATAGTGAGGATACTACATCGAGGGTAAAGTAGCCCTAAGATTCGATGGTTTAAACTGAGAATATCTCAGTATCGACAGTATTGGTAACGTTATATGTAATATATATATATATGTATAAGACTAATCATTGGTAATAAAAACTCCGACCAAAGATGTTGCCTTTACACCCTTAAAAAAAAAAAAAAAAAAAAAAAAAAAAAAAAAAAGAACTTCCCAATACTCAAGTCTAGTATCACTTAGCCACTCTAATAGTATCTAAGTGCAACCTATTGCACTATCTCTATTAAAGATAAACTGCTTATCTAATTACTTAAAGTCATATCAGAAGGGTTTTTTCCCTTCTGTGACAAACATATTAATTGTTTTCCAAGCTTCTTTCTTTATTTGATTTGTTTTTTCTATTTTCTTTTTTTTTTTTCTTCTTTGGTCTGTTTACCTTTTTCTTCTTTAACTTCTTATTTGTATATACACCTTTTTTCATTTTGCTTATAATATTAGTTTTCTTTTCTCATTCTTGTACTTTCTTATATCAAATCCTCTATACTTGATTATAAAAAGTGTTTCATACTGTTCTTGTTACTATATCTATGCATTTTTGTATTGCCTGCTTAGTTAAAAACTGTTTGATCTCTTTCTTTACTTTTAGCATAATAAGCTTCTTCATTAATGTTTTTCTATTTGTAATTTTTCTGCTTCTGTTTCTTTAAATAACACTTTATATAGAACTTGTGGTAAAATTCTGGTTTTATCTTTTTTTAAGCTCATTTTAGGCTATTGCTGTTATCACTTTCTGAATTTGTTTTTATAAATTTTTTTGTCTGCTACAACTTGCTAAGTATACTTGGGTTTCTTTTTCACCATCTTGGCATATCTGACAATTTGCTGTTGTGTATACTTCTGGTCTTCTTTTATTCAATTCTTCAAGTATCAGTAGATTGTCCATTATGCATTTAATTGTTGTAGCTTTTCTTGTGCTGAGTTTTCTTGAAATACAATGAACTTCTTTCGTTCTATTCATTTTTTCCCAAAACTTAACTACTTATATAATATATTTTCTGTATTTAGTTTTAGTATTCTAATTTAATTTGTTTCTTTTCAACTGGCTTCAATTCTGGTATTTGTAATCATTTTATACAAAATTCTTGTTGGTATATTAATCTTCTTGTTTTTTCACTTTAAGTAGTATTTTATCTCATCATATTTGATCTTTTCTGCATAAATTGTATTTTTACTAGTAGTTTCTTTTTTTGCAAATAAGTCTGCTCTATTATTCCATTTATCTTCACTATGACTTTTAACTTTAACTATGTCTATTTTAATATTCTTGCTCTTGATTAAGCTTGTAATGTTCATTATTCACATCGTATTTTTCTTTTTAAGAATCTTTTCTTTTCCTATTTCTTGTATTGCTTTGTTAATGTTTCTTAGTGCAGCCATGCTATCTGTATATATTTCTATATTTTTTTCTTCTGATACTGTTAGGATTGTTGTCTATATTGCTGCTAATTCTGCTATTGTTACTGAAGACCATCCTTCAAGTCTTAGTGCTATCTCTTCTTCTCATTGGTCATTTTCTTCTCCTACTTGTACCCAACCAATATCTATTTTTTTTGTATCATTTTTTCATTTTTTCTTGTATAACACTTTATCTGTGTAGAAGATATATTTTTCTTTGTCTTTTTCCTTATTTCTTATTAAGATTTTTGTTAACTAGTTTATAATTATACTATCTAATTTTGGTTTTCTAATTAATTCTATTTTTAGTTCTTTAATCTGTCTTAGTTCTACTAGTTTTTGTTCATCTTTTTTGTACTCTTCTATTATTCTTTCTCTAGTATTTGTTTCAATATTATATTAATTTTATTATTATTTCTTTCTAATAGTGACTCTGACATTATCTTTATGTTATGATCATGTCTTATTTACTATTTATACTTGTTCATTATCTGCTTTGATTCTCTTTCATAACTATTATATTTATTTATTTCTGTAAATGTTTTTTCTTTATTTCTTATATTAATCAATGTTCTACCAAAACTTTTTTTTTCTTTTTCTTAGTTATTCTGCTAAGTTGCTAGTCATGTTTTAGTCTATACATGATCCATTTTTTCTTTCTTCTATCTTCTGCCATTTTTGTCTATTTGATTTTAAATACTAATACATTATAGTTATTTGTTTTGTAATAATTATGTATTTGTTTACTTACTTATATTATTAACATCTTTTTTTCTATTTTACTGAACTATTTGATCTTTTTTCCTTTATATGATAAATCTTGAAAGCTCTTAAGCTGTCTTCATGTGATTAAGTTATCATCTTTGGTATCTATAAGCTGGTTTAAATATATCAACTTTTATTTATTTATTGTGCTATTGCTTGTTGTTCATGTTTTTGCTTCTATCATGTTTCTTACTTTCTTGCCATGATCTAACACTTTTTACAGACAGTTTTCGGCTTTAATGTCTATTTCTATCTCTGTTGCTCCAACTATTGTTTGACAGACCAAATTGTTTTTTCAATATTTCTTTTCTTTTGGCTTCTTTCAGAATCCCAAACATCTTCTGTTAGTTCTGTTTTTTAATATTCTTGTGCTATTCTAAGTCTTGTTAGTTCATCTAAGATGTCTTGTCTGTTAAGTCTTAAAAAAAAACTGCTTATTTACTTTGTCAATATTTCTTGACTTAGTAGTTTACAATTTTTTAAGTCTTTATATTCAATTGTGCTATTGCTTGATGTTCTCATCATATTGTATTGGTGTTTAGCCAAACACATTAATGGATGATGTATCTTATCAATTATCTTTTCTGACATTTTTGTTAGTTACAAAAAGTATCCTAACTTTGGAATTATTACTGTATAATTTATATATGCAATTTGACTCATTGTTATTTTTTTGTATCTTAAATTCTTAACTGTTTGGCTAACTATTTCTTTTATTTTTTTATATATTAGTGTTTCTCTCATTCTGCTGTTTAGCCAAATTCCTAATGATCTCACAATTTTGTTCTTTGGTTCTTTTACTATTTATTTTGGGCTAAAGATAATTTTTCTTTTTCTTCTTTAATCTTTGTATTCATTATTATAAGCTTTGATTTAGATCTATTTATTTCAATATCATTAGTTTTAAAAAACTCTTCTGCAATTTCAAAAGTTCTTAACAATTGTTCTTTATTGTTTGCAATTCATGTTGTATTATCTGCATATGCAATTGCTGCTTGTCTGTGTTCTGTATTGTTGACAAAACATATTTTCTCTATAATTTTCTGCTCTATTGTATAACTGAGTACTTTATTTTCTTGAATTCTTTTCAACAATAGATCATAAAAAAGGTGCCATATTAACAGTGAAATTACCTCATCTTGGTCTATACCATCTTCTGCTATTATTTCTTCTGTCAAACCTTTTGCTATAATGATCTTAAAATGATGTTTGCAAAATAGATTGATTATGTATTTTTTCATTTTTTGTGGTATTTTGACACTTTTGAGAGCCAATTCTAGACTTTCTAATGAGACTAAGTTAAATGCTTTCTTCATATCTTGTAGCAGTATTCACCCTTTCTTGTTTGTCTCTTGCATCTTCTTCATTAGCATATTCAGCATATGTATAGGTTGCTCAGTTAAGTTACCTAGCAGACCTGCAAAGTTTGACTCTTTTAGTATTCCTCTTTCTGTAAATACTTTGGCTAACCTTTTTGTAACTATTTTTGTAACAATCTTTCTGAATGTTTCATTAAGTGCTATTGGTCTAATGTTGTTTAAACTAAACCCCCAGTCAACATCTTTTGGAATTGAATATACTTGTGTTATTTTTCACTTTTTTGATATTTCTTCTTTTTCTAGAACCAGTTTTGCAAAAGTCCTAAAGATCTTCTGTGACTTCTTTTCTGCTTTCTTTATTAATATATAACTTATATCTAACACTTCAGAAGCTGTATCAGATTTGAGTTCTCTCAAAACATCTTCCTATTTTTCTTCTTCTATTGTCTTTTCTAGACTATTGTATCATGTTTTATTAATCTACTCTTTTGGTTCATATACTTCTTTCTATTCTCTAGATATTTCTTTAAGCTTAGTATTTCTTTTTCTAAACTGGTTTTCAAAATGCTTTGCCAAACTACTTAGAACTGCATTTGGCTCTGTTACTAGGTTGACTTCTTCTTTGTCTTGGGTTATGAATCTGTCAAGAATTATCTTTTTATATAGTTGGTTTAGCAAGCTTATAATCATTTATCCTTGATCTGTTTTAATTATTTCACATCTTCTATTTATATTCTCCTCTATCTGCTTTCT